CTTCGATATTTTAGCTGTCATTTTCAGTTCAAATGGGGGGGGGGAGACGCCATATGCACTTGTCACAGTGTTGTTTTAGGAGATACGGACCATCTGTGATTGAACTACTCGTCTTCAAATTCGAGTGTTGTAAAGGCATGCGAAGTGCTTCTGCCCCTTTCTTGCAAAGTGCTCTTTCTGATGAGTCCCTGTAATGATTTTTCCTGCCATTCACTGTCACCGTCCTCGACATACACAACTTGCTTGGTGATTGTCAGTGCGTACGTAAAAGCATATAAAACGGTTGATGTATGCCGACTGGCGCCCTGCCATATGCCATGTAATCTTATTTTGATCGTTGTCAGCTTTTGCGACATTGCTATTGAGGTTAGACTTGTGGACAGTGTTCTTTCGTGCACGTTGTAAATCTGACAGTAATTGAAATACCACATTTTAAAGATGTTTGAAGCTGTTTTTCGATTTAGGAAAGTAACTCATTTAAGGAAAACTGATCGTCAGCTAGAAATTTGTAAGTCAGCATTGAAATCCCCTTAAATTTCTAGATAAAATTTATTGACTTCCATAAAAATGGCCCAGTAATTTTACCAGCAACTTTAGTCTGTTCAACGTATTAGGTTGATCGTACAAAGTTACAAACAGATTATCTCTTTTTTAAAATATTTATTTGGCTGTATGAAAAACTAGACATTTATATTGTACTGCAGTTTCCGTAATTACGAATTGCCCCATAATCAGTGATAAGTAATCGATGCAGTTATGTAATTATTAATTTAAATTATGGCTTTATAATCAGTAAAGCGAAAAGTGTGAATTCGCACGGAAACAAGCTTATAGATCTACAGAAAAAGAGATTGAGATAGTGATTTTAGATTTAATTTTTGCATGCATTTGTGTTTTATGACAACTGTTATAGAATTTCTGTTCCTCTGAATTTTGATGTCCTTCAGAATTTAATTTTTCCACTGTTGCAACCTTATCACAAAACTTGCGCGATTGAACTCGCTTTCAGAGGGAGCAAAAATCACGGTAATGGTTAAAACTTTTCATCTGCACAGGGGGCAACTCCGTCGAACTCTCACCCCTATCCCTCCCTCCAAGTTTATCGCTTTGAGATGTACGGTTTCTGTCGATTTTGCTTTAAGTTAAATAGTGGTCACGCATTCCCTGGTTTCATCATAAACTGTTTAAGGAACCGAATAATAATTTATATAATTCTTATCTCGTACTAATTCAGATGGTTTGCAGCGCATATAAATTTTAATAAAATTATTCATAGCGTTTTAGGTCAAGCTCCAATCCTTCTTCAGGGAAACAGGTACAACAGACAAGGCTAGCAGTGACGTAGTGCTATAAAATCTAAATATGTACCAAACGGTAATTGAGAAACGTTAAAATCAGTGCCTACCTGTCCTGGAAATTGTCTAAGAACGCAGAGTAATTTGGATTATCATCCTTTCCCACATAAAGGCATGATGGGCATACAAACTGTCAGTCCAAGAATTCAGAATACTGGTGCTGTGAGTAATAGATATCGCGAGGAAAAGACTTGTATTACATTAAATACAACCCAATTTAGTCAAATGCCAATCAGTTTTCCACTAGATTTAAATATGTTTATCTGCTCTAATCTCGAAACAATTTAGAATACACATGGTTTTCGTATTCGATTCTGTGTTATACATTTTAAATAAAACGTGTCCCATTAATCTGGTAGATTGCCAGGTGGAATTCTTTTGATCAGCACCTTGACAGTTAGTGTGATCTGTGTTAGTATGAATTTCCAACAAATTAACAAGAACCAGAGTTAGATGTATTATTAATTGTTGTAACAAACTCATCTAATTGCATTGTTTATTTTAGGCTATAATGGAGTCGAAGGAGAAGCAGCTAACCCTGAATGAAATTTATAACTGGTTTCAGGACACATTCGCGTACTTTCGCCGAAATGCAGCTACTTGGAAGGTTAGTAGTTGGTCAAGTTGAGCTTTGACCAACACTCATACGTATTTGATGTCATCAGTCCATAGCGGATATTGTTTACAGAATGCGGTTCGTCACAACCTGAGTCTACACAAATGTTTTACACGGGTGGAAAACGTGAAAGGTGCCGTCTGGACTGTCGATGAGCTTGAATTTTACAAGCGTCGACCTCAGCGCTTGTCGCATGGTGTATTATATACTAACCCTCAGGACTCATCGTTCGATTTGGATAAAGTTAAACAGGAGAAACAAGTGAAGATGGAGATTTCAGGACAGTGTGACGAAACGAACAGTGACGAAATGGCGCCATCGGAAACCAGATTTTCTTTCTCGACAGAACCGTCAGCAGAATACCAGGAAATGCATACTGATTGAGTTTGACGTTTTTGTTTGTTTGCGGATGTCATGGCTGGAATTTCACGGCGTTTTGATTTAATGTTTGTGTTTGAAGTTGCAGACTGTACCGATAACCTGTATATGATTTGTTGAACAAATCAACACGCGTTTCACTGCACGAACTACTTTGGAGCACGGTGACACACGGTTTCGAACTCTGGGGATGCCAGGTTCGAATTCGAATCTGAGGAAGACAAAATTTGTCTTAGCGATTAATTCGTTTTGGCAAGAACCTCCCGCTCCCCCTCCCTCCCACGTGCTTTTTCAGTGCAGCTAGCTGAAAAATGGGTAGCAAGTCGTTGACTTTTGAAAAATAGAGATTGCGTGGTATTCTGGTCTGATTTTGCTACAGTGAACGAAGCGTTCGGCCAGGGTGTCCGCTTTTGTTTCAGCACCGACGGTAATGAAGTTAAGGAACCTTTGCTATAGTTGCTATATTTCGGTAATAAATCGAACTATGTAACCTTTGCGATGGCTATCCTTTTAATTTTGGCAGGTGATTCATCACATTCCCAGCATCTCTTAGTGGAACGAATAGCCGCAAGCAGGTTGAGTATGGCTTCACTATCATAGTTCAGACAGTAGTGACTATGAATTGTAAAGGCGATTCATCAACTGAAACGGCATACGGAAGGCCTTAAATTTGTTCCATTTCTTGCTTTCGCTTAAGGTTTCTAAATTTCGAAAGCACCATGATGCAATGTCTGACACACCATGCTCACAAATTGGCATGGATTATGGAACGGTTGTTCATTCTGTCTTAATTGAAACCGTGGTTGCCTTTCAGAAATAATTGCTGTCAACGGATGAGGCAGTTACACGAAGATCGTAAACATTGTACACGCAGTCCA